GGAAAAGCTCAGGGCTGTCAAAAGAAATTTACTGCTTGTTCTAATCAACACATGAGACAGGCCTTCCCTTTTTAGAGCATTTATTGAAAGGAGCTTATAATTGTGAATCCTTCTCTGTCCCTTTGACATATGTGAAATGTATTTCCTACAAGGCAGGATTGTCTTTCTTAAGGACCCAAAAGCCATGCCTTTGAAATGTAATCATCAAGTGGGTAGGACCTGTCTCCCAGTCTCTGTGGAAGGAGAGAATCCTGACTGGCCTGTTAGCAGACACAGCTGGGCTAATCGTGTGTACACTGACCAAATTTTTGTAACTTCTAACTTCCCTAACCACTACTCGGGTCCCCACTCACTCGTCCTTGCTGCTCCCTCATTCTCTCTTTGAAACTCTCAGTCACTCCATGCAGATCAAAATAGAGCTAGGATTTTCCCCCTACTATCAGTGGTTACTGAATAAGATCTGTTTCCAATGCTTTAACTAATGCCTAGCTTTATTTATCTTGGACAATGAATAGTCCCAGGTGGCATTTGAGGCTTTGTGAATTAACATAAGAGACATTAGAAACGAGCTTTCATTGGGGAAAATCTCAGCGATCAAGTAATATGATCCAGCTGGAAATACCCTGGCCTGGGCATTGCTGCCCTTACATGAACTGGCTCTGAGGGCAGAGTGAATCTTCACCCTGAGAATGGCAACATGGACTTGATCCATCCATGTGGTTTGGCAATCTCAGTCAAGTTCTCCCTACGAGAATGTAGTCCCACCTGCCTCAACTGAAGATGCACCAAGAAGGGCAAAGAGCTGGGACCTCATGAGGTCTCAGATCAGGCTGCTGCCTGCCAATCATATCTGCATGTGTGGCAGGATTTGGTCTGAGACTTGCTTTCTTTATAACCTGGAGCAGGTCATGAGGAAGAAGCTAAACTTCGTCCACCCATAACTACTAGCAACCAGCAATATCTAACAAAACAGCCTAATCACTGTGTACTCAAAACTGACTTAGGTCCCATATAAGCAACAACGATGAACAAGTATTACTCATTATCATTTATTCATATCGTAATAATAATCAGGACAGTGCTCCAACTCGAGTCAGGTAGACCAGTGTTCAAGGCTTGGCTCCACCACCAAAAATCAGTCAAGTTAACTTATTTGTCTAATTTGGTTGCCTCACCTGCAAAAGGAGGCCAATTAGAACATTACCCACCCTTCATTGTTGCAAAGAATAAATGATAATAACAGCACACTGCAGGCATGAAATAAACTTAAGCTATTGTTCTTATTATCATTACTGTTTACACTTGCCTGGAGTAAACCCTTCCAAGCCTTATTCTTGAATTACCTTGGAAGGATTGTCTAGATTTTCTTAATTACACCTCTCACTTCCTCTCTGACAGTATGTAGTCATTTTCTGCAGTGTAGCTTCCCCCACACTTCCATCCCCCAATTACTCATAAGTTCCAAGAGAGCAAGGAAGGTCTTGGTTCAATATCCAGTTCCCAGAGGCCTACCACAGTGCTGGGTACCAGAAGGTATTGAGTGACCTCTCTCCTCTAATTTCTGCTTCCATTAGCACCCATTAGCCAAAAGCCTAATCAAAACATAAGTGTATATCAGAGCCAATGCAAAAATATAATAAGATTAAATAAATAAATAAATAAATAAATAAATAAATAAATAAATAAATAAAATGAAATGACCGGAAGACTATCCAGGTATGAATGGATAATGGCCACTAATAAACTAAGATTTGGGGAGTTCTTACTCTGTGCCAAACCCTGTACTACAGATTGTCTGCTATCATGTGCAAACTTCACAACCCTAGGAAGTATTATCACACCCATTCTACAGTTGGGAAAACTGAGGTTAACAAAGAGTAAGTAACATGTGCAATCATACCAGCCCTCACTGTCCAGATTTCCCAAATCAAACCCAGACCTGAGTCCAAAGCCGAGGCTCTTTTCTGGGTTACACATTGTTCCTGATGGTCCTCAAAGTCCCCAAAATTTCTATCTCCAAATTTAAATTTCTCCCAACTTAAATATCCAACTGGTGCTCAGCCAGTGTGGCTCAGTGGATTGAGCCTTGTCCCATGGATTGAGAGGTCCTGGTTCGATTCCTGGCCAGGGCACATGCTGGGGTTTCAGGCTCCATCCTCAGAGGGGGGTGTGCAGGATGCAGCCAATTGATGTTTCTCTCTCACATCTATGTTTCCATCTCTCCCTCCCTTCCTCTCTCTCCAAAAAATCAATAAAAACATTTTTTCTTTATTGATTTTAGAGAGAAAGGAAGGGAGAGGAATAGAACCATCAATAAGAGAGAACATTGATTGACTGCCTCCTGCATGCCCCACACTGGGGATCTGGCCCATAACCTGGGCATGTGCCCTGAATGGGAATTGAACCATAAACCTCTTGGTGCATGGGTTGATGCTCCACCATTGAGCCACACCTGCTGGGCAATAAAAACATATTTTTAAAAAATATTCAACTGGTGACTTGGATACTTAATTTTTTAAATTTTGTTTTATACATTTAATTTTTAATGGGCATCTCAAATGTAGCAGAACCAAAAGAAAACTATGGGTTTTCCTTGCCAAATGTCCTCTTCCCTATGAGCCTCCAACCTCATCTCAATAAATGGCACCATCACCTATCCAGTTGCTCAAGCCAAAAACCGAATATCTCATTCCCACACCCGCCACTCCCCATCAACTGGAATGACCACTGAGGACAGAGATATTCATCTGGCTCACTGCCATATCTCTAGCTCCTGGCACACAGTTGGTGCTGTCGTATTGTGATATAAAAAGAAATATATATTTGGTCTTCATCCCCCATGTGGGAGGCCCAGGACTTGTGAACAATGGCTGAAATGGGAGTAAGAGGGTGGAAGGGTTTGATCCTGTGGGACTAAGCCCTTAACCTGTGGGAAACTAACTCCTAACTTCAGGTGGCTAGTGTTAGAATTGAACTGAATTATTGGACATCCACTTGGTATCCAGAGAGGTGATTGGCTGGCTGGGATGGGGGGAAGAACCCATATATTTACTTATTTATGTATGTACTTATTATTTATTTTGTTAATCCTCGCCCAAGGATATTTTTCCCACTGATTTTCCACTGAGAGTGGAAGGGATGAAGAGGGACGGAGAGAGAGAAGCATCGATGTGGGAGAGATACATCGATTGTTTGCAGTGCTGTGAGTAAAAACAGTTCACAGGTGCTCAAACAAACAAACAAAACTTAGATTGTTTCTGCTGGTCTCTGAGTTTTTTAATGTAAGCATATCAGCCCCTCCATATGAAGTCATAGTGTCATCACCCTCTCACTGCCTTGAGACCCACCACAGTGATGTCTCAGTCAGTCCTGAGAAAGCAGAAGGTAACTTTTCTGTGATGAATGGCCAAGATTGGGTTCTTTCCAAAGTCCTGAGAAGGGGATTTTAGAAACAAGTCATTAAATCCTGCCAAAATATCAGCTATACTAATAATTCTTTTACAAGTCCCACTTGAGTACTGGTGATAATTTTCAGAGTCCTAAATTAGCTACTTGGGAGTGACAAAAAGCCTCCCAGGCTTTCAACGAACTGGAGGAGATGCCCCAAAATATCTGTAATGTAATTACTGTTCGTGGAAAGTGCTGCATCACATTGGAAAATATCTCAAAACAACAATAAAAGATTTGCAAAGTTTTCTTGAGATTCAGAACATTCAGAAAATAGCCTCTTCAGGTACATGTTGGTCTCAGAAGCCCTGGAAAGGTGGGAAGCATCCTCTCTCTCTTTGCCTGACTCGGGACAAGTCATTACACTTCCAGTTAAAAACCTCAATGATCTTATCTCTAAAATGGCCAGCTTGAATGCATGCCAAGTACAGTATGAGACCTCAAAAACCAAGCCCTAATTCCACACGACCACTCCAAAGGGGATGGATTGTCTGAAGATTATCTGCCAGTACAGTATAACTGGAAGGCTTCAGAAACCTGTAACAATTTAACCTCTCCATCACTTAGGAGTTGGCCTTGGTTGTCCAAAGCTGAATGTATTAGGAAGCAAGAACGTCCCTGACCCTGAATACTCCCCCAGTTAGATTTATTTGTGGAAACGCACCATGCTGATAATCAGTATGGACAGGGAAGAGGGAGGAGGGAGATCGACGTCTGACGGTTCACTTATTTCTTTTTTCTAACCCTGCGGGAATGAGGAAGAAATTAACATTAAAGGGTTAAAACCTACTAATGCTGCCCTGAAGCACTACTCACCGTAGAGACGCCTATTCCAAACGGGCATATATATTGTAAGACACCATGAGTTTAACAGACGAGAGTTACAAAGCGGGATCGGGCACGTTCAGTTTCAACCCGGTTGGAAGGCTCGCTCTCTACCCAGGCAGCCGTGTTTGTGGCCCGCCTGGGTTGGGTCGGAAAACGCAGGATATAGGGTTGAGTCTTCCCAGCACCCAGACTTGAGCACTGTAGTTTGGAAACCAGGCTTGGGGACATTCGCGAAGGTACGGAGTCAATGCCCTAGCCTTGCATGGTGCCAAACGCAACCTGCTTGGGTCATTTGTTCTGGGCACGGGAAAGGACATGTTGCCCAAACCCACGTCTTTTCCTGGATTCATCGGGTAGGCAGACCCGGGCGGGCTACGGAGCTCATCACCACACTTTCGTATCCTGGGAGGAGATGACACGCTCTAGGAGCAATCGGGATATTCCTGCCCACCCGGCCCGAGCGAAGTCCTTAAGGCCAGACGGGAATACCTCGGGGTAGCCTCTAGGGCTTCCCCGTGTCCCTTCCCGCCCGCCTGCGCGGCACTGGATTTCCCCGACTGCGGAGCGCCGCGCTCAGGCCCGAGGCAGAAACCCAAGCGGCGCGGGGTCTGCCCCGAGCGATCCAACACCCACACCGTCTTCGACAGCGGAGCTAAGGGGCGCACCCAGGACAGCCCGCGTGGTGCCTAGCTCCTGGCCCCGGCGCGGCACCCAGCCCCGCTCACCTGGCCCGCACAGCACTGCGCTGACATCGCGGCGGCCGAGGACCACCAGCGCCCTCGCTTGCTCCCAGCTCCCTGCGACTCTCCTTGCACCCTCCGGCCTCCAGCGCCCCTCTCCGCACCAGCTCAAACCTCCACCGCAGGTAGTCCCAGCTGAGCGTCAAGTACCACGGCCTGGGTGAAAACAACCCTAGCCAAAAGCCGCCGGGCCGCCACAGGCCCCGCCCCGCCCGCCCCCTCGAGCCACGCCCTCCATGGGCCCCGCCCCCCGCACGCCCCTTCCCGGGGCGCCAGGCGGCGGAGCAGGCTCGCCGGGTTCTAGCACTTCCGCTGGCGTCAGGCGGCTGGCGGCGGCAATCACTTCCCGGTGCGGCACAGGGCTCCAAGTCCGCCTACGGAAGGGCCGGCCGTGCTCTCCCGAGCTCCTGCGCAGGCTTGGCAGTGAGCCCCTCCGTTCCCTGGCTCCGGCGAAAATGCGGGTTGCCGACTCCAATACAGCATGGAGCCTTTAGTGGAGAGATTCCGGGTGTCCCGAACTCAGCCGGCGCAGTGGGAACTGCCTGGTGCTGGTCTGCGCTCTGCCTCCGGCCTGCAGGGATATGCACAGGATCCTTGTTCCTGAAATCCCTTTTCCCAACTCATCTGCCAGGAAAACTTACCAACTTTGGGGAAAGTCGTCTCTGTTCAAGCTTCCTCGGATCCCTGGGAACTAGGCTGTTCTACCCTGATTTCCACAGCACTTTGGGGGATCCGGTGAGAGCCCTTTGCTCTGCATCACTCGATATTAATCTATTTTACAGCCTCTCCTCCCCTGTCCTCCAGAGAGCGCATCCCAACCCAGGGACTCAGTTTGCGTCCCTGTTTTCTCTCACTTGACCTCACTAAAAACAGTCCCCAATAATTGCTTGTTGCGTTCAGAAAGCAGAGAGGGGTGCCCCTAGTTTTTCTCCCTACTCAAATATGCTCTCCTCACAGCCACTTCCCCAAGAAGAGGGATTTCTGTTAGTAGTATCTTTGCCCCAAGCCCTTTTGTTACTCAGCCTCTTGCCATTTAATGCTTGGGGTATTCTATTCAAGAACTAGGCATTGCCCTGGCCAGTGTGGCTCACGTGGTTGGGCATCTCCCATACACCCAGAGGTCACCAGGGAGCTCTATCCTAAGTAGGGTGCCTGTGTGATCACATCAGTGTTTCTCTCCCTCTCCCTTCTCTCTTTAAAACCAATAAAAACATTAAAAAAAAAAAAAAAAAAAACTAGGCATGGTTGTGGTAAGGTAAGCAAAGGTGATAAATTCACATCCAAAGCTGTCTGTTCTGTCTCCTCAAAAGGAGGCTTGGCCATTGCTTATATACACTGGTTAATAACATGTTGATTTCTTCTTTACAGTTGGCTACACTTATCCCATTGAGCTCCTATCTAACTCATCCTGTTATAGCTGCTTCTGCAAAATACTGTGCCATATTTTAACAAGAATAGCACTCAAGCCCTGGCTGGTTTGGCTCAGCGGTTGGAGCGTCAGCCTGCAGACCAGGGAGTCCCAGGTTCGGTTCCCGCCAGGGGCACGTACCAAATCAATCAATCAATCAATCAATCAATAAACAAACATCTGGGTAATCTACCTGGAAAGCAAAGATTAAAAAAAAAAAAAGAATAGCATTCATTAAGAACTACCTAGACCTTGAGACCCTTATCCTATCTAACACTTTATATCAGCATCACTGTACCTACTCATTTTAGAAATGAGGAAACTGATGCCTGGACAGTTTAAATAACTTGCCCAAAGCTTCGCAACAAAGCTGAAGGAGCAAAACTGAAACTGGAATCCACCTGGTACATGGTTCAAGGTTTGACCTTGAGTGGCTTCCAGACAGAGCCTTTGGCAAGGGAGCAACTGATTGGGCAGTTTAGGAGGTAGAGACTAGGAGGAAAGGCAATTATTGGAAGAGAAATAATGGAGCAGGCCCTCCTCAGAGCCATAGAGAATAATGAAGGGAGTTGGCTCAAAAAATTTTGTTAAATAATAATAAAATTTAAAAAAAAATTTTAATAAAAAATGTTTACACTGTAAACAGTATAACAGTATCAGGCCAGCAGCCTGTGACTCATGAAAAACCAAACATCTCACCAGGACTTCAGTGAGTTCCATTGTTGTCTGCAGTAGTCACTTTGGCCCCACTTCTCACCTGGGGAGACTAACTGGGCACCTAGAGTTTCTACCCTATGGGAAAAACCAGGCAGCTTCCAGGGAAAGAGAAGGTATAAAATCTACATATGTTTGAACAGGCAGTGACTGAGGCCTCTTAGCCTTTGATGGAAACTGGGGTTCAGGAAGTCAGAGAACCCTCACCAGGGAACACTGAGCTAGAGGCAGAGCTGGTGGTAGGATTCAGGCCTCCTGACCCTCAATGTTGTGCTCTTTTGGCCAAACCGATGCCAACGTAGGAGAATTCTGTGACTATATCAATGTCAGCCTTACAGATAAAGAGAATACAAGTCTTAATAACCTGGAGATTTGTAGACAGTGCCAGCAGGTATAAGAAAAGCAGTAATGGCCCTGGCCTGTTTGGCTCAGCGGTTAGAGCATCGGCCTGCGGTCTGGAGAGACCCGGGTTCAGTTCCCGCTAAGGGCATGTACCTTGGTTGCAGTTTGTCCCCAGCCCTGGTTGGGTCCTGTGGGTGGCAGCCACTTGATGTGTCCCTTTCACGTCAATGTTTCTCTCTCTCTTCCTCCCTCCCACTCTATCTGAACAACAATAACAACAACATAAAAATGTCCTCGGCTGAGGATAAAAAAAGAAAAGAAAAGCAGTAATGGAAGCTTGATCTTTCAGAGCCAGGAACTTGCAAATTTTCACTCTATCAAGAACTGACTGGGCAACCTCTGAGCCTCAGTTTTATCACCTGCAAAAGGGAGCTGATAATACATTCTCCAAGGATTAGATAAACTCACCCCTGCAAATCAACACAGTACAAGGCCTTGCTTTCTTAAACACGACTAAGTTAATAAACAAGTTTATTTATTATTATTATTATTTTTTTTTTTTTTTTAATCCTCACTCGATATTTTTCCATTTATCCTCAGATAGAACGGGAGGGAGGGAGAGAGAGAGATACATCGACATGAGAGGGACACATCCACTGGCTGCCTCCCACAAGACCCAACCAGGGCCGGGGATGAACTGATAATTGAGGTATGTGCCCTTGACCGGAATGGAACCCATGACTATTTGGTCTGTGGGCTGAAGCTCTAACCGCTGAGCCAAACCAGCCAAGGCTTAATAAGCAAGTTTAAAAGATGTTAAATAATCTATTCAGATTGACTTCCCTTCTCCCTACTGGAAGATCTCAAAGGAATGTGGCCTTGTCTGGAGATTCAACCAACTCTGAAGGCTGTGCAGTTACTATTTAAGGTCTGGTTGGTAGCGACCTTTGCCTCTGTGGTAAGTTGACAAGAATAGAGGTAATGTCAACAGACATAACATAAAACAGTGGTACCTTAATTTTAAGTACCCTGCAGAGTTTTTCAACTAAGACTGTTGTACATAGTGTTCCTAACAAGTAGGTAGTTTCACAGTCCATCTCTTTTGATGTGGATTTTTCAGGAATAAGCAGTAATAGACCTGTTTTAATAAGACTGTAGCTCTTGGCAGACCATGTGAAATATTTCCCCCAGAAAAATTTTCTGAAGTTAACTGCATTAGCTCCTTTTATACAATATAATTATATTTGTATATATAACATAGTATAAACAACCATCTTATAATTTGCTATTTTCCCTCCTGAATTTTAAGATGTTTTTGTTTGTTTTTTCTTTTTAGGAAGGAGAATTCAATGTTGAGCTTAAAAACACCATTCTCTGAACTAATAACAACAGTGGTGCCTGGCCCATGTAGCAAAGGGGATTGAGTAACAACCCATGCACCAAGAAGCCGCTGATTTGATTCCTGGTCAGGACACTTGCCTGACTTTGGGGTTTTAGGCTCCATCCCGGGGGGGGGGGGGGGCGTGCAGGAGGCAGCCTATGTATGTTTCTCTCTCTCCAAAAAATTAATAAAAACATGTTTTAAAAATAAATAAAACAGTGGTGTATTTATGTAATTAAAGAAAAAGGCATAACTATACTCACTTTTTTTCCTTTAATAAATTTATAAAACTTTATTACAAATTTAATTTCCAGTTCAAGATTGGCTTAAAAGCAAATAAGCAATTATTCTACTTCCTTAAAATCTCAACTTTGAAAAAAGCCTAGTGATGTATTCTGTTGGATTTTTAATACAAAAGAAGAAATTTCTCTAATATTTACTTATTAAGTCTCTAGGGACCTCAATCTAGTAGTGGAAATTTAATTAATTTCAGTTACAAGTAAACAATAAACTATTTATTTAGAAACAAATAGCTATAAATTTGGGGCCCCAGGCAAAAAATAATCAGAGCCCTGTAGTGCCCCCACCTCACTCCTGCCGGTAACTGAATTCTCCTTTCTTTTAAATTAAATATACACGATGTTTTTTAAATATCAAAAGCCTCACAAAATACAAAAATATAAAACGAAAACTAGCATCTCCCTTCTCCACAACCTACCTTACAGTCCCCTCCTCAAAGGCAACTAGTATCAATTATTTTTGCAGTTTTCCCTTCACATTTTCAAATAATATTCTTATACTCTTACTTCCTGATCAGTTGACTATATTTATTGTATATTATGGGTTTTTTTAAATATTGATTTGAGAGAGAGAGAGGACAAGGGAGAGAGAGAGAAACATTGATTTGTTGTTCCACGTATGTATGCATTCACTGGTTGCTTCTTTTTTTTTATCCTCACCCGAGGACATTTTTCCATTTTTTGTTCAGATAGAGTGGGAGGGAGAGAGAGGAAGAGAGAGAAACATCGACGTGAAAGGGACACATTGAGTGGCTGCCACCTGCACGACCCAACCAGGGCTGGGGACAAACTGCAACTGAGGTACATGCCCTTAGCAGGAACCAAACCCCGGTCTCTCTGGACCACAGGCCAACGCTTTAACTGCTGGGCCAAGCCAACCAGGGCCATTGATTGCTTCTTGTATGTACCCTGACTGGGGATTGAACCCACAACCTTGGTGTAGCAGGATGATGCTTTAACCAACT